CGTCACTTCGTCAGAGTTAGTCGAGGAGTCAGGCGTCTATACATATACATATTCCATATACGCACGAATAAACAACGAACCCGGTGCAACGATTCCGATCGTTTATTCGCGTGTACGTGACGGATATAATTATATTTATGCGTATATTTATATTTGTATTTATATATATATATGAGACTGGTTTCGAGCGTGTCGAGAACGTTCCTGAAGAAGAAGTTAGGCCATCGTCAGGGTGCCCGCCCCCATGCCGAAACCTACGCCCTTCGGTCCGAAATTCCGGTTGTAACAACCGCGGCAGTAGATGTCCCCGTCCGGTCCGTCGTTCAGATTCGTCGAGTCTAACGAACGGTGGCACTCGGCACAGCTGAAGCAACGCTTGTGCCACACGCGGTTCTTCGAGATCATCTGCTCCGCAGCGTACACCGGGTAGCCGCAACGCGCGCACCCGTTGCCATCTGTACGTTTCTGGCCCACCTGAGGCTTCGCGTCGATGCTGAAACGATCGACACAATCATCTCAATGCAAATTGCAAAGCAACTGTGTTTTTTAACTTTTCCCTTCGAACAACAGAGCGCCGAGTTGAAATCTGTTGGCTGGCTCGTTCAAGCAAAATTCAAGTCACTCGACTCGACTCGACTCGTCTCAGTTTGTCAAGTGAATCTGACTTGAAGAGGAGGATCTCTCAGAGAGATCACTCGAGATAATTGCGAGCGACGATACTTACTACGAGGGAGCGTGATCCCCGTTGGTCGAGACGAGAGTCGGCGTGTGCCCGAAACCAAATCCTTTGGGCCCAAACAGCTTGCTGTAGCAAGATCGGCAGTGAATTTCCTTGTCGGGTCCGTCGCAGGCCAGCATAGAGTCCAGAGGTCGATGGCATTCGGCACAGTTGAAACACTTCTTGTGCCACATGGTACCTTTGGCGAGCTGTTGCTCGGCGGCGAACACCATGCCACCGCAGCGCGGGCAACCCTGGCCGGCTGGCGCCTTGATGGCCGTCGTGTCAGGATTGTAGAACGGCCGATTGGCCGATATTTCGTCCTCCCTGGAAGAAAAACTCTTTTCCAGTCCCTTCACATTCGAAACACTCACTCACCTTCCATTCTAAATCAATTGATCGAAGAGGATTTCTAAATCAATTCGTCGAGGATCAACATTTGACATATATATATTTGGAATTTTATCTTGGAGTTTAATTGTTGGATTTTTGAAACTCTAAGTACCCAAATGTTGCTTGGATTTTTATTAGATACTCTGGGATCCTAGCTGTCTAAATATGTACAACTTCAAACACCCAATATGCCTGAGATTTAGACGTCCCTGAATGTGTGAAACTCTGTTGACTCAGATATCTGGTACTTTAGGTACCCAAATACTTGGTGTTTACAAAATTATATAAACTACATACTTGGAACTCTTGGTACTCCAATTCTAAACATTCAAGCATCTGGAATTCTAGACGCCTAAGGAAATTTAGAATTCCAAGTGTAAATCCATCGTTTGTAATTCCATTATTTAGAATTTCAGGAATAACTCAGGTGTTT